GCGTTTAATTTCACAAAGTTACCCTTTTTATGGCTATAATATAATATTGGAACGGGAATATGGATGGAGTAAAATAGTAAGCATGATCATGGAGAATCCTTTTCTTCTTGTATCAATATCTTTTCACATGCTTTGATGGAATTTGATTTAAATATCATGGAGATAGGTTGTAGGTGGTGCATCACCGGACCATGCAAGTGGCCTATAAGAGGTACTTTTCATGGTGCAGGAGGTATATTTTTGGGAGAATCCATCATTTAGGATCTCATCCATAGCTTAAACACCATGAAAATGCACACGAGGAAGGTGAAGGCCAATGGGAGCAACTTAACCCTTAACAAAGTTATACAAGACTAAAGAGAAAACAGTTCAGGTATTGCGGAAAGCGTTTAATTTCACAAAGTTGCCCTTTTTATGGCTATACTATATTATTGGAACGGGAACATCCATGGAGTAAAATAGTAATCATGATCACGGAGAATCCTTTTCTTCTTGTATCAATATCTTTTCACATGCCTTAATGAAGAGATTTTCCCTTCCATCCTAGGATTCTTTTATGCTAATCAAACTACAGTTTTCTTTCAATGTAATGAAGATATGTTTAAAAGGAAAAAAGACAAATTCCATCTGTAATAATTTGCTGCTTATAGTTCCAACCATCTTGAAATTTCAAGCAGAACTGTGATTCACCATGAGATTATGAAGAATAAACCCGACAAAAGACACCGTGCAAAACTGTAATAACCCTATGTACTTCTGTGGCTAACAAAGGTTAATTTCAACTGGCATGATTTGCTCAATCCATATTCTAGAATTGCCAACCTAATACTGCTGGAACAAGACTGTTTCAACTCAAACAACGAGTCCCCTGTCACCTGAATAACAATGAACTGAACTAATCTTTTTAACATGCACCAACCACAGGTTACAAGCAAAGGGAACATTATTTGAAAATTCTCTCTAAAACAAGATACACTGGCGATCGCACAGTAATATACTTTAAAGTAGAATATTGAACGCAAATAACAGCTACCATGCAACAACTACGGAACACATGGTTGTGGGCAGTAAGGAATGGGAACCAGCTTCAAATCTCTTTCTCTTCTAACAGTAATGCCAAAGGCTTCATTCATGTCTAGATCCTCATTTTTAAGTACTCCAATTCATGTAGTCCTTCACTATCAACATTCCCTTTCCTATTGAAAACTTGTCTCACCTCTGCTTGAGCCTTCTGCATAACTCTTGGATTTTTCAGCATTTCTGACATTGCCCATTCTTGTGTTGTGAATGATGTATCACTCCCAGCAATGAAAATATCCTGTAGTTGTAGCAATGTATCATTAATCAATGGAGCAAAGTTTTCAATGCAAAGTATAAAAGGTATATATTAAATAATTAATGACTCACTGACCATGATTACTGATTTGATTTTGTCATTTGTTAAAGGAAATTCGAGGTCTCCGTTCTCCTGAAAATTCAAAAGAACGTCTACAAGATCATCTGGTTCACCCTCAGTGCCCTTGCTAGCTTTATGTTCATCTATGACACTTTCGAAAATCTTATCCATGTTTCAGTGCAGTCTCTCAACTCTAGGCCACAATCCGGTTATATACTTGAGTAATTTGGCTGAAGGGAACAAATCTGCAACATTGAAACCTTCACCGAACCGTAACACTTCCCTGAAAAGTACTGTGAATTCATCTTTCTCTTTGCATTTCCCACCAAAAGCAGTCCTCGAAACGATTTCATGTGTGAGAAAATATAGCATCTCACTGAGGTTGACTTGTGATCCTCCTTTCGAAGAAATTGCTTGAACCAGCTTCGATACCTCTTCTTCCCGAATCGGAGTGAATGATTGCACACGTTTCGGACTCAACATCTCCAGCACAAATTTTTCGCAACTGTCTCCAATAGTCCCCATAGGGGGCAAACGCAACGTCTGTGGTATTATAAGTTAAAATAGTTGTGGAAGTACAGAAGGCCTACTGGAGAAAATCATGTCGTGAGTTCTCATCACTTCTGCAGCGGTTTTCAGGGACGAAACAACGATGTTCGAAAGTTCTCCAAGCTGAAGATTCATCAAGGAGCCATATTTATTGGCCATGTCTCGTAACATTTGATGGGGTAGAGGGCCAGCAAGGAGGTGCAAGCTCCTATGACCGGCAACTTCCATGGACCTGGAGGTAGATCCTGTGTCGAGTTCTCGATTCTGAATCACTTCCCTAGTTTCACCAGCATCAACAGAAAGATAATGAAGGGGAAGAGTATTGGAAAGGAGAGGAATTGGTGCTCCATGAATGTAGAATATTGAAGAGAGACTTGTTGCTTTGGTTGATTAGTAAAGTTTCATAATTTTAATACACAATCAATTTAAAGATTTATAAAAGAAAATAAAAAATATACAAGCATGACATAAATAAACAGATTACTAAAATTTATTTTTACATCGGAAAGGATGGTACAGTTCTCTCTTTGAAAACAGAAGCATTATGACATGTCGTAGTACTCTATTACATAGGTTATGAAAAACAATAACACAAGCTTTATTCCCGCCTATCACGAGGGTGACCCGGGTTCGATTCTCGGCAACGACGATACCTCAACTTCTTTTTCTATTTTTTTAAAAAAAGCTGAAAACTTACAAAATATGGCTTCGCCCGGACTCGAACCGGAGACCTTCAGTGTGTTAGACTGACGTGATAACCAACTACACCACGAAACCTAAACAAATCTTTGTTCCACTAAGACAATATAAGTTAAACTAAAATACCTATAAGTATAGAATAATCACCACTTGTTATGCCTAATTACATAGTACGCCGCATGATTAAAAGAATAATAATTATTAGTATAATAAAACTGATATGAATATATGTATATATATATTTGTAATGAAAATATGGTTACCAAATTCAATTTTCTAAATTCATCAATGTGGGTTTATGTGTCTTTTTGCATTTTCTTCATAAAAGTAATATTTTATTATTGGATATAGATAGAGTCAAATTTCAACCGACTTTATTGGATAATAATGATAATGTAAATTTTGGTTGTGCGAGAAAAAGATAAAAAAAAATTAGCCTAAACTCAGCTTGTGCTTTTTCCGGGGCACTATGATTTTTCATCATTTCCGACATTGCTCATTCAGCTGTCGTTGAGGATGTCTCAGTTCCAGCTCCAATCATGTCCTGATAAGCAGTTCTACTTGGTTAAACTACAAAACAGCTGTGTACAACATTCAAGCAACCGAAGAAAGCGAGGTCTTATATCTGAACGCTTAATAAAGGAACTTCCCAATGATCTCAAGCTTCAAGTTCGGTAAGTTCCCTCAGAATTGAAAGGAATGTTTCATGTTGATTGCATCTTCCACCGATAGCAGTCCTTAAAGTGATGTTATATGATAAGTTGTTTAACATTTCTCCCAGGTTGATTTCCGATCCTGTATTAGAAAAGATGGATGTAACCAAACTTGATGCCTGCTCTTCTCTAATCGATCGGAATGATTGTACACGTCTTATACTAAGCAGCTCCAACGAGCAAACTTTTCGAAACTGCCTCCAATAACCTCCATATGGCCCAAAAATAATATCTGAAAAATTATACGTTATGATTTCTGCAGCAAGGAGATAGGGCCTGGTAGCAAAATTGATATAATGTGTTTTCATCACTTATCTAGCAGCCTCTGGAGAAGAAACAACAATGTGTGATAATTCACCAAGTTGAAGGTGATGGGGAAGAGAGAAGAGTAAATGGTGCAAGTGACCTATAATAGGTAATTTCCATGGTTCAGGAGGTAGATTTCGGGGTGAGCCCTTTATTTTGGATCTTACTCGTAGCTTAAACACCATGAAATGAACACAAGGAAGGTGGACAGTGGAAGCAACTTGACTTGGCTATCTTTATCCATGATAGGAGGACTAGTGAGAGAAAGTGTTGATGAAATGGCGTTTCTTCAGAATTTATGCACCATGCGTTTTTTTTTATCTAAATGAGTTGGCTTAGATTTAAATTTGAATTGGATTGAATTAAAATTTCGAGTTTAATATCAAATTGATAGGTGCAGGGCTTATTAGCGAATTTGATATCATGTTATTTCATCACTTCATTCACGGACTCCATAGAAGAAACAACATGTGATAATTCACCAAATTGAAGGTGCATCACGGGACCATGCCTTTTTGGCTAATCGGTGACACTGCGACTGGGAAGAGAGAAAAGTAATAGGTCAAGTGCCCTATGATAGGTAGTTGTTTCCGTACTGCAGGAGGTATTTTTTTCGGTGAGTCGAAGAAGTGGGTAGATTGCTTGAGATCTGATTTGAAGGATTTAGCCCTTACCAAGGACATGACCTCTGACAGGAAAGTATGAAGACTTAAGACCAGATTAGCCGAGTAGTGTAGGTCACAGTAATAGGGTGTAGCATCTTTGTCTTCTTTTTAATGCATTTGTAGTAATTTCCATGACTTCTACTTTTTATACATTTCTGTCATTGGAATATATGAAGGCTTAGAACTAGCGTAACGGAGTAGTGTTGCCTTAGTTTAGGTTTAACTCATTTAACTTTATTCCTTCTCGTAATTTGTTATCTCTGACTATTGTGTAACCTTCTCTTCATGTTTCCTCTTTTTAAATTTAGCCCGGACTTACGTTTCTGTTTATCTGCTGAGATTTTTCCGCAGGAATTTATTTGCATGGATATTTCCCATTACAGACACGCATATGAAGACTGTTCAACTATGTATTTATTTATTTATACATGCATTGTATTTTATCTTTATTTTTAATTTTCTGACTGCCGGAAGTCTTCCACAGAAGCTGCTCCCAACCTGGCGTTGGGGTCAGCTTACTACCCTACCTTCCCTTACCACATTGCATATGGGAATAGGGTTTTGTTGTTGATGTTGTTATAGTATATTGAACAGTTGAGAAATCTCCCTGGATAAAATCTCTCGGCTTCATTCCAATACTAGGAGTTCCTTCCTATATCCCCTGCATTAACGATGACTCTGGACTTCACTGGTATATCATATCCATTGATTGTGCATCCCTGTGAGCATTCTCTTGGAAGTAGCAATGGAAGAGGAGGGTGCAATCTCAATGTTTCACCGATGACAAGTTTCAAGTACTCCAATTCATGTAGCCCTTCACTATCAACATTCCCTTTCCTATCGAAAAACTTGTCTCACCTCTGCTTGAGCCTTCCGCATAACTCTTGGGTTTTTCAGCATTTCTGACATTGCCCATTCTAGTGTTGTGAATGATGCATCACTCCCAGCAATGAAAAGATCCTGAAGTTGTATAAGAACTATGAAGTATCAGTAATTAAATCGGGTTTTGCAGTGCAACATGTAGAAGGTATATGACAAATGGACTTACTAACCAATACCACTGCTTTGATGTTGTCGGTTGTTAAAGGAAATTCAAGGTCTCCATTCTCCTGAAGGTTCAAAATAACATCTACTAGATCATCTGATTCGCCTTCAGTTCCCTTGCTAGCTTTATGTTCATTAATGACATCTTCAAAAACCTCATCTAGTTTTCGATGCAGGCTCTCAAGTTTAGGCCTTAATCCAGTGAGGTACTCGAGGAACTTTACCAAAGGGAACAAATCTGTACGGTGAATTGATTGCCATGTAAGCTTGTGAACTGTCATATAAGAGTCGTGAAGATCAATATTTGATTCTGGTATTTAAAGGATTATAATTTTTTTCTAAGTTTAAAGATCATATTTGATAAAAAAAAATATTCAAAGACTACACTAATTATTTTTTTTTCAAAAGTTTGAGGGTCTCAATTACCGTTAAACATACTTTTATATTAATGACACTTTTGTATGTTATTGCTTATAACAATATTTTTATGTATTTTTAAAATTTAATTTATGGCCAATATGCATTAACATTATATTCTTATTATAAATTAAAATAATTGGGTAAACTACGTCAATGGTCACTAATATTACGGTAAGTGTTCATTTTTACCACTAATGTTTAAAAAGTCACAAATCAATCACTAATATTATCGTTTGTTACAAATTGGTCACTCGACGTTAACAGTCATTAATAGACGTGACTGAAAATACAACTGGACCATTATCTACTGAGTTAGATCGTGACCGTCATTTTGACTGACTCTTCTTCTTCAACCCATTCCCCATCTTCTTCTCTTCTTCTTCTTCACTTTTCTTCTTCTTTCTTTCTCTTCACTTTTCCTCTTATCACACACATGACATAACCCTCACCTCCAAAGGCCAAACCAAACAAGGTCAAACCTTGTACAACACCTTGGTGACCAGGAAATGACAAACTGTTCGCCTTAAAATCAAAATTTCAAAAATAAATGTCAATCAAGATTCCTTTTAAACAATAATTTAACAAACTACCAAAAATATATCTAAGGAAAAGAAACAAATATGTTACTAAAGTGATATTTGACAACAAAATTGCCACCAATCATTGTAGTAATGCAACAAAATTGTAAAGAAAATGTGTACTATGAATACCTGGAAGGTATCTGTAAAGAGATGGGAGATGAGAACTTAGAAACTTTTGCAGCAATTTCATTAATATTTGGGGTCTTTGCCATACATTTGATGGAATCTCTATACCCATCCATTGCTCCAATAAACGGTCTTGCGAAAATCTAAACAAAATAATCAGAAAGTGAATGAAATTTCAATATAAAAAGATTAAAAAAAAAGTAATTCAATCCTGAATTGTGAATGTACCTTGTCCAATTTGGCGGCATTAAGAGAGCGGACGTACTCGACTGCTCTCTCTTGGGATCGTAGGCTGGGGTAGAAATTAGGAAACACCCACTGCATGTCTTGGCTTCGTTCTCGAGTGAACTCATCTGTGGAGCGTGATATGACTTTCATCTTCATTTTCTTTCTCTTCTCCTTTCTTCAGGGAATCTCAGCCCTCAGAAAGAAAAATCCTAATGGCTTGTAGAGGCGAACTTAAACCCTAGAACTAGAAGAAGACAACAGAGAAAAGCAAGGTCCAAACGGTAGAAGATTTCACCTCGACTGGATAGGCTGAGTTCAATGTTTGGTTTTAAGTAAAGAAATGGTGATGATGTGAGGGTTTTAAGTTTTCATGTTTGGTTTGGCCTTTGGGGGTGAGGGTTGTGTCATATGTGTGATAAGAGGAAGAAGAAGAAGAGAAGAGAAATAAAGAAGAAGAAGAAGAAGAAGAAGATGGGGGGAATAGGTTGAAAAAGAAGAATAACATGTTAAAATGGCTGTCAACGATCTAATTCACTAGATAACGAACCAACTGTTAATCTCGAGTAAGCATTTTGTAATAAACGATAACGTTAGTAACTGATTTGTAACTTTTTAAATATTAGTGGTATAAATGAACACTTACTCTAATATTAGTGACCATTGGTGTAGTTTACCCAAATAAATTTTGTGACCGGAGGAAACTGGGTCAGAGGGTCGCCCTTGCCTTTACAATACCTGATCTGGATTAGTCGATCAATAGATTAGATACAGGTGGTTATACCAACAAAATTAAAATAAATTTTGTTTTATGAAAATTCTTATTAATTTTATTGTTTTATATTTACATAACTCACATGTTAAATTTATATAATGATTTTTTAATGACCATAGTTTAATTTAATTATTATTTGTTTATTTCTATTTTAAAAAATTAGATACCACATACATTTGTACTATTTTAGTTTTGAATAAGTTTTCATTTATATTAATCAAACATGTTTTCTAATTTTTAAAAATTTAAAAATGAAACTATTTTCTAAAAACAAAAACATAAAATGAAAATAAAAATAAAAAATATTTTCTAGAACCAAACAAATCCTAAGTTTTATATTATTAGGTCTGCCCAAATCCAATTCGAAAATCAAATCTTTCTATTTGTATATGATCTGACTCGAGGTTTAAGAGGACCTCGTTCAATTCAAAATTCGACTCAAATATTTAGGTTGAAATCCGCACTCAACCCATCTCAATATATATTATTAGATAAATAAGAATTTAATTAAAAAGATAAAATAAAAATATATGTTATCTCAACTATCTCTAAATACATAAAAGATAATTATAATATTTTGTTTTATCAGATTTTTTTCGTCCTAAATTCAAACTCGATCTTCCTCTTTAAAGCTTAATTAGACCTGACCTATGCCTGGATTTTCAAAATAAAAAATTGACTCAATTAAATTAGGGAGTTAAAACACGCAACACCCGGGTGAAATGCCCTATTAGCACTTCCACCCGCAAAGTAGCTTAGCTTTGACAATAAATGGTTAAGAGTTGGTGAATGGTGAGCCTTTCCATGATGATGGTGCCTTATTTTGATGATCATGTTATGGACCGTTCATAAATTGCTTATATAAAAGAAGAAAACTATCATCAAAGCTTACGCCCAAAACTTAATTGCTATCAACCAACATCACAATTTGCATTTACTCAGCACAAAAATACTCGATCACAGACTGAAAAAAAGTAACCACGCTGAACACAAGTGATAAGTCGGCCCATAAAGGCATCAGTAAATAAACTAGAAGACTCACAGCAAGAAAAACACTAAGAACAAGCTCAATGCAACAGCAATCGACCTATCAGCCCCCAAAAACATGCCGCCGCTCTCATCCTCAGCTAACTGATCAGCCGGGTCATCGTCAGGTGACTCTGCTGGTGAGTCTGAATCCGGTGTTGGTGCTGCCTTCGTCTTCGACTTGGACTTTGATTTGGATTTGGATCCCTTTGGTGCATCTGCTGCCTCCTCTGGTGCCGGGGCCGGGGCTGTGCTAAGAGCCGATGCCTTGAACAACTCTTTAGGCATCAAGACTTTATCAATTGTATAAATTGCTACCGGCTGCTCGTCGAGGAGAGTCCCGGTTATTTTGACGGTGTTGATCTTGGTCTTTAGAGTCACCTCTTCACCCTCGTTTTGCACGGTGAAATCGAACTTGCTGGCTCCGTCTGTAGCTAATGTGTTCACGAGTCCGTTGTTGGATTTCAACATGGACAGAGATTGGTACACAGGCACGCCAAAGAATTCGAGGAACGATGCTTTCTTAGAAGCTGTCAAGTTCTTGTACTTTGGTAAAAAGGCTTTGAATGGATCGTCCAGAGGGCAGAACACAGTCAATCCTCCATTAACATTATCCTAGAAGCAAGCATCGCAACAACAGATCCATTACGAATTCATTCGGAGAATATGAAGTAACAAACAAGCAAAATCTCAACAATTTTATATACTGGGGGCAAAGGAAAGACGAGCAAACCAGCACCAACAAAGAAGTAAATAACAAAGCAGATCATTACATTACATTTCCATAGCTACCAGTTCATGCATTTACTACAAGCTTCGAACCAAGCCTATTAATGTAACAATGACTTCAAAGTTGCAACTTCCAACCGTTTACGCCCATCTCCAAACTACCACCATCTTCGAATCAATGTCTACAGCAACTGTCTCGTACATTTACTGCATGTTGTTTGCTTACAGTATAGTGTTAAATCCAGCACAATAATGAGCATGCTCTAGAGTCTAGGGTCCCAACACTTAAAGGGACATTCAAACTTTGGCATCCAATAGGTGGAAAAAAAAATAAACCCAGATCTGGATTAGACCTTATCTAGAAATTTCAAAAACAAAAACAAAAACAAATTTTGAAATTTGAAAAATCTTAAGATGTCATTGTCATGCTCTTGGATTAAAAATTAGCTCCCCCCCACTCTCCAACAAAACCTTGCCTTTCTGAAAACTAAAATTAGCCAAACTAAAGAGTAAAGAAAACAGTATCCTATGCCATTATCAAAACTTTTCAATGTGCTTTTACACTGTTTCTCCATTGCACACTAAAAGTCTAAAACCCCACCATCATAACTCAATCAAACAGCCAAAAATTAATTATTTTTCTACTTTCTAGCCCTTTTTCCCACTACCTCACTTCTTTCTTTCACCTTCTTTTTCACTAGATTGGTTCATGCAAGAATCAAAGAACAAATTTCCAGCTTACCTCATAAGTTCCCATGGCTTCATGATTTTCCAAAAGAGTATCAGCAAACACTTTACATCCATGCGCAGACATAATGCCAGTGATATTCAGCTCACTCGGCCCTGGAGTAGGAGCCTCAGCTACAGCAGAAGGCAAAGCCTTGCTGATCTGAATCACAGATATATTATAAGGAATCTCCTCCACAGATTTAACAAATAACGAATTCAGATTCCCATCATTGTCTTCAGGCCCAAAACCAACTTTCCCACCTTTGAAATCGGTTATATTAACAAACCCAGAAACCCCAGGAGCCACACCAGTGGCTTGGAACATAGTGGCGGCCAGTGCAGTGCCATCCCTTATTTGGTGAAGCTTCCTGGCACCGAAGTAGTCGAGGAGGACATGGAGGGAGAGGATGTTTTTGACAGTGAAAATGGAAGGGTTCTTGACTAAGAGGGAGGACATGGCGGCGTTGTCCAAGGCGAGGACCGTGATGGTGGTACGGCGGTTGATCTCCGGAGCTAAGTGCGTGAGTGTGAGGTAATGGTTGAATGTTGATAAAGATGGGTGCTTTGCTAGTAAACGTGTAATGTTGTGTCCATTTGAGGTTTGGAAGAGAAGAACAAGTGAGAAGATGAGAAGAAGAAGGTGTTGCCTTTGCCCCATAATGCTGTTTCTCTTCCCTTTCCCCTTGCTTCTGAGCTCTGTGATGTTTTTGCTTTGGACGAAGGGAGGGAAAGGAAAGCTCAAGGGTGGTTGTAGCGTAGGGTAGAGTCTCTACTGGCTAAAGCTAAAAGGGTATGAAAGTTGAGAGGTTTTTTATGAGTAAAGGGGGCTTGGAATGTGGTAAAATTACAATTGGAGCCACTGTGCTGCTGAGTGGGTTTGGTTTAAAAATTTGGGATAAGGAGCAGGCGGTTGCCACTTTCTATAGCTAATAACTATAGTTTATAATAAGGAATTTTTGTTGATTCAGGCTTGTCAAAATTAATTAAATGGTTTAATTTTTTAATATAAAGGTTTAATTGAATATAAAAAAAACTACCTTAATTTCATAATATCATACACAAATAATAATAAATATATCTTGTCAGTCGTTAATGGCATTTTCTTTTTTGTTGGACGAAGAGTCGTACTTGATAAGAATACGACCATTGTTCAATATTCCTCCATGAGACGCAGTTGATCATCAAGAAGAAATAGATTGGGTATGAATAGTAAAAAGGCTATGGTCTCTTTCTAAAATTAGTTGGGAGGATTTATATTAACGTTTAGTGTTATGGTCATTATATTTATTCGTAAGTCATTTGATAAAATATATTTAATCGTCGCATATTAATTTCGTTTCGTCGGGTCATATGAGCTTATCAGAAATTTTACCAGTGTTGTAGTTGTTCTCTAAACCTTGTAATGAAACGTTGCTTACTTGTAGTCACTTACATTACACCAAGGCCAAACCCCATTTTGCAAGCACAACCTCAATTTAGGCGTATCCAAGATTCAACGTTTTCAGTTTAAAATATTCGCTTTCTCTAATCATTTAATTATAATCAAACAACGATTACAGGTCTACTTAATTCACATCATCACCCCCAAGGAAAAATACCGACATACCCTCTTGTGCAGCTTTAAACACGAACTTATACTATGTACAAATAAAAATGTATTTACATTTGTCGTATTTTTTTAAAATACGTTTTTGTAAATACATGTTTTTATCTACGTGGCAGTCAGATTCGGCAATTTGATTGACAGCAGGTGCCAAGTTGTTTTGTTTACTGTAGCGTGGCATTATCGTTGTTTGATGAAAGTTGGAGGGCGACTTTATTCAAACAAATTAACGATTATAGTAGGTTCACTGTTCATGTATACGTGGGGACCAATGCTACGACCAAACGAAACGACAGCACGTGGAGGCTAATTGCTCGTCCCTGTGACCTTAGAAAAACCCACACCGACAGCAGGGTTACAATTTCCACGTTTATTTTCTTAAGATAAGTTGAAAATAATATTTATTTTAAATATTATTAATTATTTATTAGTGAATATTTTAATTATTTTATTATCGTTATTGATGTTGGAATATGTGACTCAAATAATAATTATTTTTCTAATTACTCGTATAATTTGGTGCGTGATTTTGTACATATTTTTCAATCACCCATGCTCAATTGAAAATATGAGAAATATTTATGTGTGACAAGTTTAATAT